CGATACTGGAGATTTCAAAAAATTAGACACCACATCTTTAATTTGGGAAAAATAAATAAATTTATAGGATTTTGATGATTTTTATTGTATATTAACCTTAACTATTAATATAATTAAGAATTTCTTACTTAGTACTATTGGCCTTTATTTTGAATATGTAATTTAGATTATACTTGGACTAGCTTTATTTCAAATTATATGTTTGCTTTTTGTTTATATTTTTGGTTGGTAAAAATTTTAAATTTATATTTAAAATAAATTATATTAAACTAAATAAATCCTAACTATTTTACCTTTTGAAGTATTATATGAAAATTCTTATATCGTTGCTTATTTAAGTAAATTATGAAAAAAAAAAAAATCATATTAAAGTTTAGTTTGATTTATATAAATATATATATTTATATATTGTTTTATAGTTTAAAAATAAATAAAAATATTATATTTTTTTAATTATGTTTTTTTTAAAAAATAAAATAAAAAAAGATCTAAAATTTATATAATTTTTTTAATATATATTTTTAAATAAAAAATATTTAAAATAATAAGAAAAATAAAACTGGTTAATAATTCCATTTAAAAATAAAATAAAAAAATAAAATTTTTAATAGAAAATTAAAGAATATTAAGGAAATAGAAAGAAAAAAAACCAAAAAAATTAAATAAATATAAAAATATATTAAATAAGTCAAATTTATTTTAAGTTAAAAAAGTAAAAATAATAGTTTTTATTTAAATTTTTTTTAAAAAAAATACTTTATTTAACAAATAATAATTAAATTAATATTACTATTACTAATAAATACATAAAATAAAAATGGGTTGTGTTCCTACTAAATATGAATAACATTAAGATTTAAACCAAAAAAATATAGTAATAATGGGATTAAAAGGAAGTGGAAAAACAAACTACTTTTATTAAATAACAAAAAACATATAACCTCCACCAATATCAACTATAGGTTATAATTACGAGATTTTAAAAGATAATAATATAATGTACGACGTAGGTAGTTTCAATTAAGATTTTTCATATATTGAGCATTTGTTTGATAAAGCTTTAGGATTAATATATATGGTAGATTCTACTGATTCTGATAAACTAAATGAATCAACCTAATTATTTGATGAGATAAAAAATTAAAATTTTCTCAAAAATAAACCTGTAGCTATTTGTTTAAATAAATAAGACCTTGAAAATTAAATAAAAGTAAATGAAGAAGATATAAAAAAAGAGTTTTAAGTATAATAAGAAAAACAATATTAAGTTTTCAAAATTAGTTCAAAAGAAAAAAAAAACTTAGATTTACCAATAAAATGGATTAAAAAAAATAAACATATAACTTTATCTTAAAAAGATGTAGAAAATATATATAAAACCAATATTTCTTTACATGATACAGCTTAGGACTGATTTTTAGATTGTATTTAAATATGAAAATTTATGTAAAAAGTAACAGTATTAAAATTATATAAATATGCATATTTATATACAATTATATAAATATATACATTTAAATAATTTATATAAAAATAAAATATTTTATATTTATATTTATATCTATATATTTTTAAATTAATAATATCATTATTATATTTATTTATTTATTATTAAAAAAATTATCCTTAATATTTTTAATATAAATCATTAAAAAAATTTGATTTAAAAATTATAAAATTTAATTTTTTTTTTTTTTATATTAATTTTTTTTTTTCTCTATTATTTAATATAATAATTTTTTCTTTTTTTTTAATATTAATATCTTTATAATTATATCTAATATTTTTAAATATTAACTTGGAAATATTTTAAATTAAAATTAATCTAAATATATAATACAAACTTTTTCACAATATAAAATATTTTTAAATTTATTAACTTTTCCTTTCTTTTTTTTTTTACATATATATATTTATTTATATCAATACATATGAGATATATTCTTTTTTTTATTTTATTTTTATTTTATTTTATTTAGTACATCAATAAGTCTTTATTTATTAATTTATTTTTATTAATCATTAATTAAAATACCTTAAATTTCTTAATCTTAATTATTCTAATATTTATTAATAAAATTATATGAATTGTTAGTAAAATAAGTGATTTTATTATCATTATTTTTATTATTTTAAACGCAATTTTATTATTATTTATTATAAACTTAATCCTGATTAATTTTATTTTTATTATTAAAATCTATTTTTTATTCTTCCTCATTATCGTCATTATCTTAAATAATAATATCCTTTTGATAATCTTCTTTTTTTTATGCACTTGCATAATTAATTTTATATATTCTTTCGAAAATCTCCATATGTTTATTAATTTTATTATTTATAAATTTCGAATTTAATTATTTTTCGTTATTTTCAATGAAAGCAATTTCATTTTCCTATTTTTCTATAATCTCTTATTTTAAGATATTATTATTTAAATCTTTTGTTTAATAAATTTCTTATTTTAACACATTTTCTTATTTAAAAAACAAAGGATTTTCCTATTTTGAAAATTACTAATAATCAGTCTTTAATTAATTCGAAAAATCATTTTTGTCTTTATAATAAACTTCTAATTTATTTAATTATTATTTTTAAATAATTTCCATCTCTTAATTTTTTATTAAGAAGTTTAATTTTCGTCTTATTTTTATTATAAATACTCAGATTTTTATATAATTATTTCTTTTTTTTAATTAGAAAAATTAAGTTTTAAATTATGATTTTTTATATTAAAAAAATTAATTTTTTATTATTAAACTGGAGTATTTTATAAATTTTTCTCATTTTTATTATTTTCATCTTCTTATTCTAAAATAAGGAAATTATTATTTGAATAAAAATCTTTGAATTTTCTAGAAATTTATATCAGCCAAAATAAAAAAACACTAAAACTTGAAATTAATACCGAAAAAATTATTACAATTAAAATCTCAATAAAAAACGGGAAAATCTTACGCCCTTTAATTTCCTGGCCTCTTATTTTTCCCCCATTTTCCATCTCCAATATTTAATCTTTCTCAATAGCAATACTTTAATCCAAACAATTTTTCTCGCATTTAACATAAAATCCAAAAGAATATAGTTCTTCTTATTCACTAGTAAAACATTTATTAACACAATCATAAAGAATAGATGTCACATTTTTAGACTAAATAGCTATAGTACACGAAAGTTCCTTTTCTTTACACAAATTATAGCTTTTTAATTATTCCTAAAAGTTATCATTTTAAGTATTCAAAATAATTTGATTCGCACAAGTTTCTAAAAAACATTCTTAGTATTTTTAATAAATAATATTTTAGTATTAAAAACTAAAAATTTACTAAGTTTTATTAAAGCAATTTTGCTAGCACTTTTTTTAAATAAAAAAAAGTTAATCTTTATATTATTCTTAAATTTTTGAATAGCAATTTTCATTACAAATTTTTTCATTTATTTCAAATTCTCCTTATGTATTCACACATGCATATACCTCTTGTCGACATTCGTTATATTTATTTATATCTATTTCATATTAATCTTTTTATTATGTTTATTATCTAATGAAATTCTAGCATATATTGCTTACGCAATGATTATATACATTATCAAAGTTATTTTATTCGAATGTAAAATTTACAATTGATCCTTTTATTATTTTAATAAATATTATCAATATTATTAAGTATTTTTACATTATTTCTTTAATTAAAATTAATGTTTTTATTATATATATATATATATATATATATATATATATATATATGTTTTATTTTTTTTACATATATATTTTGTTTTACAATTTACAAATATATAATTATTATTGTATTTATGATTTTTCATATATTATTATATTTTATACATTTAAATATAAAAATAAAAATTAATAATATATCAAATATCATTTTATTATTTATTTTATATTAAATGTTATAATTGCTTCTAAAATTATTAAAGATCAAGTCTAGGTTATTGGAAACTACTATTTCTTTTTAATAATTTATTATTTTATATATTCCTTTATTTTATTCTCGAATTGATTCTTATTTATTTCATATTATTGAATTTAATAAGTTTTATATTTTGTAAATATTTATTATGATTTTTAATCATTTAACCACTGTTTTAATTAACAAAATAAAAATAAAAATCTTTCTGTTTATCAAAATTCCAAATATATTCTTCGCCTTATATAAAGTTATTTTTATACAATAAATTATCATGATTCGCATAAATATTTTATAATACATTCTATAAACTCAATTATTTAGATTTTCTTTATTCGATAATCTTTATTTAAAGTTCTGATTTTTAAATACTTTTTCTTTATCTATTTATTTATAAAGGCAATATACTATGTTATTTACTTTTTATTCTTTTTTCTGTATTTTATTTAACTTTACTAGCTAAAATTTTACTATTTTCTATACTTAGCCTTCTAATATTATTCTATGTACCCTATATATATTCATTGTATAATTACTATTTAGTTAATATATATATATATATAAAAAAAATTACTGTCTTTTTATTACAAAGGTCATTTTAATAAGATTCGGACTCCACAGAAACTATTGATTATAATCTTTATTGATTATTTTATATTTTATGTTCACTTTCTTAAGAACTATGCTCTGTTTCTGATTAACTTTAAGAAAAAGACAAATTTTATTTTTTCAAAAAAGATTATTGATTTTCAACAAAAATTTGAGCACTTTCTTCAATAAAATTAAAGTTAGAAACCGCATTAATTTTTTTTTTTTAGTTTTTTTTTTATGGAATAGAACGTAATTATAAGTTATTATAATTATGTCTATATATAATATATTCATTCTATTTATCAAAATGGACTTTATAGCAATTATTATGTAAATGATGTGAACTTCCACAAATTTAACATTTCAAATTAATTACTTTTAAATCATTTTAAAATAAAATTTTATCTTTAATTTCCATAAAGGTTTAAAAATCTTTCTCGTTTTCTTTTATTATATTTAAAAAATCATCTCTGTTAATTTTCAATACGGTTGTAAATTCATTAGCTTTGGCACATAAATCTTATTATATTCCAGTAAAGAAATTATATATTCCAAAGCATTAACCTTTATTATATATTTTTATTATTTTTTTTACATTATTTTATTATTTTATTATATCATTTTCATGTTTAGGATATCTATTTATTTTAATAAATAATTAAATAATATATATATTACATTTATTATTCTTTTTTTTCTATTTATTATTCGAATTCTTTATTTTCTTTAAATTTTTTATTCTCCATATAAACACAAACTATAATATGATAAATAAATATATTAAAAATAATATATATATATATATATATATATATATATATATATATATATATTTATATACCTTATCCTTCTAAAATAAGATAAATAAAAATTTAATTATTTTATTAATAACTATTTTCATCAAAAATAATCGAATTAGCCTAAAAATAAGTTTCTTCGATGATTTTCGTGAATTTCCTTAAACTTTCATTAGAAAATATATCCATAAAAAACGAAAAATTTTTCAGACTTTTATTATTTGAATATTCTTTTAATTCCTAAAACATAAAAGAATCTAGTCTATTAAGTGCATATTTTTCTTCGTCATATTATTTAATTAATTATTATTCATAAAATTTTTATAAATTTATATTCGCTTTTCTTTTTAAACTTCTAAAAAATTTAAAATATATATAAATTATAAATTTTATATAATTATAATATTTTACATATCAATTTTTTTCCTTTTCATATATTTATTTAATAAATTTAAATCTCTATTATAATCTTTCTATTATTTATTAATGTCCGCCAACAAGTTTCCAACTATATTAAGCATATACCCAAAAATAACAGCCGATATTAGCATACAGACAGATGTAAAACTTAGTTCAATATAACTTAAAGGCTTTTAATTTACCCCGGCAGTAAGCATAGTATTAATTGCCCAGTATTAAGCTTCCACATAAGCTTCCCACCAAGAATATTCATTGTTTTAAAAAACATTAAAAATCCAACTTTTCTCTTTTTATTATAAAATATTACTTTCGAACTTAGCTACTAAATACCAGGAACATGTCAAAACATGCCCAAAAACAATCATTTGTAATAAAAGTTTAAAAAGTTACAAAAGATGTTCATTATGGAAAACTTAGATTATATAAAATTCTGTTTTTTTCAAAATCAAAAGAATACCTTTAACCTTTAACAAAATAGAAAGTTAAAGAATAATATTAAATAATAGATTTTCAGTTTAAATACTATTACAAATTAACGGCAAAACCTCAAAAATAGAATACTCCTGTAAATAAATTCTAAATATAACACTCCTATCTTCTATAAAATTATTATGATAGTACATTTTAGTGTTCATTTAAACTAACATTTCAGTCACCCAAGCAAACTCTGCTAAATAATGAAAATAATGCCAATAGATACCAAATTAAGCATCAAAACAAATCACTAGAGAATTTAAAATAATATAAGAGCAATTATATGAAACTATTATTATATCAAATAATATTTTTAAACGATTTTCTGGATTAAATAATGGAATTTATTTTAATTTTTGAAAAAATTAAATATTTCTAATAACTTTCTTTATATAATTTAATATAGAATTCTTTTAGATATCTTAAAAATCTACAAGGTCTTGCAAAAATTATTTAGGCTTTTTTTATAGATTACGAGTTCGACCGAACGTAGTATATCTTTATATAAATAAACGAGTTTTTATTTAAAGTTTAGCTATTAAGTTGGCTTTTTGTAAAAATTTTAAAATGTTTTTTCTTTTTTTATAATATTTAAATTATTTTTTATATATAAATTTTATTAATATACTTTTAATGTTCAGTTTCTTTTGTTTAATAACAATTTGTTGGAATCATATTATTTGTCGTTTATTTGTTTTCGAATGTTTATTATTATTTTTAAATTATGTTAATTGAACTTAAAACGTCAATATTTGAAATACTATTATTAGGAGTTATTTTTTATAATTAATTATGATTTAGTTATTAAAAATTAAAAATTTTTAATATGTTATTATCATCTTTTTCACTTTTTATGTAAGCTTTATTTAAAGACATATTTTCAATTTCTTATAAATTCATTTTTTTTTTGTAATTAAAATTATTATTTTATTATGCTTTACATATATTTTTTATTTAATTGAATTAATTGACTATGCTATTTTATTATATTAATTATAATAAAAACTAATAAAAATATATATTTTAATATTAATTTAAATGTTATAAATTATATTTACAATAATCGTTTTAATTTTAAATAAAATGTTGCATTTATATTTTCTAATTATTTATTTATATTATTTTTATAAAAAAGCATTAAATTTATATAATATTTATTAATATTAATAATCATATAATATTAAAAATTTATTTATAAATATTTTATATTATATTATTTTAATAATATTTATAAATATTAATAATTTTACTTCTTTATATATAATAAAATAATAATCTATAAATAATATAAAATATTTATTTAAAAATATATATTATAAAAAAAAAATGTAAGAATTTAATTATATTTTAATGCTAAAAAAAACAACAAAATTAATATAAAAAATAAATAATTGAATATTTATTTTATAAAATTCAAATCAAAAATTTTATAAAAAAAATATTTTAAAGTTTTAAAAAAAATAAAAAATATGTATATTGTATAATATTAAATAAAAAAATAATGTGATAAAATTAAATTAAATATATAAAAATAATATATATACATATATATATATATATATATATATAGGTATATATTTTTATTTATATATAAAAAAATATATATTTTATACATATATATTTTTTTTTAAAAAAAAAATATATAAATAAAAATAGGCTAAATTAAACCTATTATATTTATTTAATTTTACTTGAATTTATTATTAAAATATTATTTAAAAATTAAGAATATCAATATTATTCGAAGCATAGAAAATCCTAGATATTAATTTAATAAATAAAAGTTTAAGTATCAAATGCATTCAATATATCAATAAAGTAAATTTTTTTTAATATAAAATAATTTTATACTTAATTATTTCATTATTTTATTTTATTTGAAAATTTTATAATTATTTCGTTTCGAATATTTATTTAAACCTATTTAAATAAAAAATTTAATATAAAAATTTTTTACTTTATAAAATTAATTATATTATTTAAATTATTTCTTTTAAAAGTAAATAAAATATCCATTTTTTTTTATTTATACTATATTTTATAATATTAAATATTGAAAGATATTCAAAGTATAAAAAATAATTATAAAAATAGTTTATTAAAAAAAAAAAATTAAAAAATTAAATAAATTATATATAAATAATTTATTTTACATACTTATTGTTTTTATTCAGATTATATTTCAAAAATTATATCTTATAAAATATAAATTTTCAATTTAATTTAAAAATAAAAGCAATTAATATTATTATATGAGCTTTCTTAAAATTAAATTATAATTAATTTTTACAAAAGATATTTAATTAAAAATTTGCAAAAACTATAAAATGTAAACAAATAAAATTAGATTAGCATCACACGCAAATTCATGGTATACAGGAAATAGTAAAAAATATATACAAATATAAAAAAAAAGCACTTAATAAAAAAAAAAAAAATTAATTATAACAATCAAATATTATTAAATAATAATAATAATAAAAATAATAATAATAATAATAATAATAATAATAATAACAATATTTAATATTTACTTTTTTAAAAAAAAAGAATAAAAATTAGATTAAGAGTTAAATGAATATTTATAAAACTCTTAAGTTGAAATTTAGGATATTAAATAAATTAAAGGGATAATAGGACCGTAAATATAAAACTAATATTTTCTAATATTATTTTCATTTTATTTTTACACAGTCATGCAGGTTTTTATTATAGTGGTCCAACTGCAGCATGGTCCTACAAATATTTATGCCCATAAGATAAGTAACTAAATAAAAGTTATATGCTTTATAAAAGTTATATGCTTTTATAAAACTTATATGTTTTTATAAAACTTATATGCTTTTATAAAACTTATATGCTTTTATAAAACTTATATGTTTTTAAAAACTTATATATTTTTTTTTAAAAAAAAAAATAGTCTAAGGGTTTTTTTATTAGGACCTTGTCATCATATTTATCTGAATTCTTGTGGAACTTCAGATTTAGATTTTTACGATACTCCTTTAGGAAGCATTCGCTTAGATAAATAAAGTAAATATAAAAAAATACATAGATTTTATTATTTTTAATATTTGCGAATAAATAAATATTATAAGTAATCGAATAATTAAAATAAACTGAATAATTCTAAGTATTAAATAAATCTGACGAAGAAGATGAACATTCACTAGAAATGCATTTACCTTATATATAAAAACAATTAGGATCGTAATGTTTTATTTTCTTTATATATTTATTTTAATTTCATTAAAAATAGTAAACCATTTACACTTATTCCTATAATGGTTGGAAATATAAACTTTTAATAAGAAAAATAATACGGATAAATATTAAGTTAATTTTTTGATGATGAAAATACCGTTTTTATTATTTCAAGTGATTTCTGCCATTGGGGATCAAGGTATATTTATTAGTTTTATCATTTACATACTGAGTTCTATTTTTAGATTTTAGTATACTTATTATAACAAGGCTGACGGAGAAATATGGTAATCAATCGAAAAATTAGATAAACAAGGAATGAGTTTGATCGAAAAACATGACAATAGTAACTTTAATTAATATTTAGAAAATACAGAAAATACAATTTGTGGAAGACATCCTATTGCAGTTTTCTTATCTGTAAAAATTATTAAAAAAATAAATAAATATATAGTTATGTTTTTTATTGTTTTTAGGTTCTTAATAATAGTGTAAAATACAAACAATAATTAAAAACAAAATTTTTACATTATGCATAAAGTGAATAAATTAAAAATAAAAAAGATTCCTCTGTAAGTTATGCAACATCAATAACATATATTTGAGTGTTTGATAAAAAAAAAATATTATTACATATTTTAATTTTTATGTTTTCAAATCTTAAAATTAGAAAATTTTAAATTATATTTATTTGTTTAAAAATGTTTTTTTAATTTTAATTATATTAAAATTTAATTTTAATAAGAATTGATTTTTTTTAATATTTTTTTATAAAAAAAAAAGAGCATTTAATTGTTATAATTTTTATTGAAAATTATAAAAAATTTTAAGAAATTGTCTAAAAAGAATATAAATAAATATATATATATATATATATATATATATATATATATATATATATATATATATTTATATATATTATTAATATTAATTTTTTTTAATTATTACAATATTATTTTATTATATTACAATAAATTTTTTATAAAAATAAAAAAAATCTTAAAATTAAATATTATGTAATAAGAAATATAAAATGATTTTAATTCAAAATTCTATAAAGTTTAATAAGCACATCAAATAGAATGCTAAAAGTGTCATTTAGGCAAGTTCATATTATCAATATCATAAATAAACATAGAAGAAAATTTTTATTCATATGAATAATGTAATTTATGTCAAAATAAAACATATTTTTTATTTTGTGACTGTGGAAATATAGTAATAAGCTAAACTCCTTTTTTTTAAGGTTAATTAATAAAATGTGAAAATAACTAATGTGATAAAAAGATTTAATTTTTAAGGTGCCCATTTATATAATGTAATAAATATAATATTTTTTATTCTGATTAACAAAAATATAAAATGGGAGAACCAACAGAATGTATATATTGTGAATCATAATTTTATTAAGTAAAATAATATTAAATAAATATTTTATTAATTTATAAAAAAAAAAGATTGCTTGTCCTAGTTGTTCTACAAGTATTTATTTTTAATCTGATTATTAAATGAGTTTACCAATATATTGTAATAATTTAAGTTGTGGTAAAATCTTCTAATAAATAATATGTCCAAATAAATAATGCTATTCACCAATTATAGATGTAAACTAATTCCTGGAGATTAAATTAATTGTAATTAATGTTTAATAGAATTAGCTTTTTAAAATTGTCCGAAATGTTTAAAGCCATAAATTTTTGATTCTAAAAATTGCTAATTGGGAAAGTATTAAATCAAATTTTTTATTTTATTTTTTTAAAAAAATAAATAATAATAAAAAAGATGTTTTTTATGTTCAAATTGTTAAATAGAATTTTCTTATGATAAATGCATAAATTGTAATAAATATAATATAAGAATTTTTAATAATAAAAATATAAATAAGTAAAAATATATTACATTGTTAAAATAATATATAAAAAAGGTAAATTATAAATGAATTATGGATTAAGAATTTGTAATAATAATTAATGCAAATAAGAATAATTATTATTTAAGTGTTATGTTTTGAAATGCTAAAAAGTAAATACAATGGAATTTAAAGAAAAAGAAAATATTTTTGATAAACAATGTCAATTTTGTTAAACTGTAAAAAATATATAAATTTATAAATATAAATCATAAAATAAAAAATAAGAAATAGTTCATTATTAATTGTTCAAAATGTAAATCATGTTATTCTACTGATATTAAAGAAATTCCAGAAAAACAAATTTAATGTATTTTTTGTAAAAACCAAATATATCATAATATCTTATATACCCTGTATGATGAAAAGGCAGGAATTTGTAAGATATGTAGTTAAAGACTTGCAAATAGAATAATGTTACCTTGTAACCATTTATTTGGATGCTAGAAATGTACAGATGAATTAAAAAGACATGGTTAATAGAAATGCCCTATATGTAGATCAGTTGGAAAAATAGAAAAAGTTTATATTTGAAAAAAAAGAACATTAATGCAAAAATAATTATATATTAATAATTATATATATATATATATATTTAATTTATTTATTTTTAATTTAATTTGTATTATATAGTGTTTAAATATTGTATATTACTTTAATTTTTTTAAAAAAAAATAATGTTATTGTGTAATTATATATTTTTTTTATTTAAGATATTTTTTCTTAATGTTTTTCGTTTTCTGTTTGATGTTTAAATATTCTTCAGTTAATTTAAATAAAGATAAAAATAGTATGTTTATTATAATTAATATAAAACCTTATAAATTTAAATTCAAAAAAAATATTATTTATTATTAGTTAATATTTATAAAATTTTATATTAATATTACATTTTGTATATTTTTTTGAAAACAATTATATAATATTATGATAAATTATATTATAATTTTTTAAATTTGAATATATATATATATATATATATTATTTACTTTTTAAATTATTCCATATATATATATATTAATTTATCAATCATTATTATAATATGATATTTCAAATAATTTTTAGTTTATTTTTTTTAAACATTTATTTATAAATAATATATTTTAAATTGTTATATATGTTTTTAAAGTTTGAAAATCTTTTCTGAATTTTTTTGTTATAAAATTTATTATTTAAATATATTTTGATTTAATTCATATTTTTATATTTTTAAAAAGTAAGAAAATTATTTATAAAAAACAAATATTATTTATAATATTTAAAAATAATTTATTTATTTTTTGAACAAAAAATTAAATAAAATATAAGAAAAGTTTTAATACGTCAAAAAAATGAATTTAAATTAATTATTTAAATGTTTACAAGATGAATAATTTTATTAAGAAAATATTCAATATTTTATATATTAATTACAATAAATAAAATGTAATATTTATATAATATTCAGTTTATTTATTATAAAAAAATTTAGTAATTAAACTTAGCTTATATAAGAAATAAAATAAATAATTTAAAAAAAAGATCATGATAATATTTAAGCATACTTAACAGTTTAAGTAAAATTAAAAAAATAAAAAATAAAAAGTAATTTACTAATTAAATAAATAGCTTTTGAAAGATATAATGGATGTTAAAAATTTATAAATATAAGAATTAATTATAAGTGAAATAATTCCAATAATAAAATAAATTATTCTTGAATAAAATAAAAAATTAGAAAACAATAAGTGCAGTAAAATATAATATGTAAAAATATTTAAAATTTAAAAATAAAAAAAAAAACTAAAAGATACTTTATAATAAAATTCTTATTAAAATAAATTCTATTAATTATTACTGGAATGTATAAAAATATGGTCATAAAATGAAAAAAAGGAATTTTAATAACTTTATTAAGAATTATTAAATCATAATATAAATTTTATAGAAAATAAAAATTAATTCTATTTAGATTAAATAAAAACATAATAATAATAAAATTTGAATAATAATTATCAAATATAAATTATAAAATGTTAAAAACTAATTGAATAAATAAATTAACAAATAAATAATTATTCAAATTAACAAAATGATTTTTATAAAAGTAACAAAATAAATATATATATCTATATATATATATTATATATATTTATATATATATATATATATTTTAAAAAAAAAAAATATAGATTTATTAAATATTTAATAATAAATTACTATTTTAAATATTGAAACACTAATTTCTGAATTATTTGATGATCAAGATTATTCAGATAAATATTTACAATCAGTTATTTAATACTAAGAATATTTTTAAACTTATATTTAAGATTTATAAGATTTAGAAAAAAACAATCATTTGAATTTTTTCTTTAAGAAATATAAAAATTTATCATTATAATAATAACCCGAATAACAATAAACAATTGAATTAAATTTAACTAAAAAAGCTTGTAATTATTTTCAAGAAGAATCTTATTAATTGTAAGAATTAAAAAAATAAAACTCATTTTAACAAGAAAAGCCTATACATAATAATAGATTTGCATAATCTTTAGAAAAATAATAAACAAAAGAAACTTAAAATAATATTTTAAAATCAAATTTAACTCAAAAATTCTTAACTGCTTTTAATTAAAATATAGAAAAACATATAATCCCTTTAAGATCTTCTAAAAGTTTTTACTCTTTTTTTTTAAAAAAAAATATATAAATATTTTATATTAAAAAAAACATAGTTTATAATAGCTCATTATTAAATATTGAAAAAAATTCAGAAAAAAGAATTGTTAGCTTAAATGAAAAAGAGAAAATAAATAGTTTAAAAAAAGAAAACTTAGTTCTAAAACAATAAATATAAGAATTATAAAGTACAATAATCTAAATTAATAAATTAAACTAAACTCAAACAATCAAAGATTTAGAAGAAAAAACAAGGAAATAACAAAAAATATAGAAGATTTAACTTAAGATTGTAGTTTATTATAAGTATAAATTATATAACTATAATAAGAAAAATAATAATTGAAGATTAATAATGAATAAATATTAGAATAGCAAATTTAAGTTTATAAAAACGAATTAGAAAATTTAAAATAAGAAAATTAAGATCTTTTGGAATTTAAGAATTTATAAAAAATAGAACAGGAATTAAATATTGAAAATAATAATATAATAACAACATTAAAATAATAAAATGAATAATTAAAAAAATAAATATAATAATAATAATAAGAAATATAATAGATAAGATAAAAAATAGTATAGTCTCCTAAAATATTTGGAAAGTTTTAATCAAGTAAAAATAAATACATATAATTTATATATATATATATATATATATATATATATTTATATATTTTTAATTAGAAATGGATAATTGTAAGTATTTAAAATAATCAATAGATCTATTAAATATAAAAGATTAAAATGTATTTATAAGTCCTGAAAATAGTTTTGGAGTAAATTAAAAGTTTTAATATTAAAGAGTCTAAAGCCAACAAACTTTACTTTAATAAAAAAATTAAAAGATATTTAGTAATATTAAACAAAGTGTTAGTTAAGAATAAAATAATGTTTAAACGAATATACAGTCATAAGGATTTTAAACCAATAGTTGTGCTTAAAGTCCATTGAAAGATACAGAAAATGAAAAGCAAGAATTTAATAATAAAATCTAGTTTAATTATGAAAATTTAAAAACTTAAAATAGGGATACTATTTTTTATGAAGAAAATAATAATAAAGTATTAAAATATGAATAAATAATATAAAATAATATTATAAAAAATATTGATAATAATAAAATTATTAAAAATGAAAATTTATTTGATTATTAATTATTAAATAATCAAAATTTAAATAAAGAAAATAATCTAAAAAATAATTAGTATAATAATAAAGAAATAATTAAAAATAATAATATATAATAAATTTAAATTAATAATAATTATGATTACAATTTAATTATTAATAAAGAACATAATCAAATAAATAATAATTTAATTAATAAGGAATATAATGATAATAATGTATATAATAAAATATTAACAAATAATAAGTTAATACTATAAAATTTTAATAATAGCAAAAAGCCTCCTTAGCCTTAAAATGATTTTAATAACAAAATAATTAATAATAATAATGAAATTAAACTTATTTAAAATAATTTACATAATAATATTATTATGTAACTAATGAATAAAATCAAATTATCCATTATGATAATTAATATTAAATCAATAATGGATTTGAAACTTATAATAACTGCACATAATATTCTAATTTAAAATAAAATAGCGATCGTCATTTAAATAACAAATTAACCTCGCCTAAAAAAGTAGTTTTTGAAGATCATGAATGCTGTGGAATTTCAATACCTTCAGTAGTATTTAAAGATAAAAAAGAAGAAATAGAAAGTATTAAAAAACTAAATTAATCAATTATTTCTAATGTAGATTCCTACAAAGTATATATAGTTTTATAATTTTATTTTTTTTTTTATATATTAGGAAATACTTCATCCATTATAAAATAAAAATAATATTAATTAAGAATAAAACTAAAACAAAAAAATAGAATTTGAAAAAAATATAAAAGGAGAATAAATATACTTTGATTAAAAATATTTTTAATTAATAATTCAAAATATTCTTAAATTAAATAGATTTAAAGCATCTTGCTTAAAATCTAAATATCCCATATATGAAGATATTAATTTATAAATTGGAGTTGTTACATAATATGATAAATAAAAAGTATTCTTTTTTTTTAAAAAAAATATTAATTATAATTTTATTTTGTTTTAACAAAAAAAGGATGGAAACTTATTTAAAATATAACTTTATTATTTAAATAAAAGCATAAAAACAATTAAAAATATAAAAACCATTATAACAAATGAATTATCATAAAATATATAAAGCATATTTCCTTAAATTATCGATGAAATAGAACCTAAAAAATAAAAAAGATAAGAAATCATTATAAAAATTGATGATATACCATATTATATATCGGCTATAATAATAAGTTATATGTAAATTTAATATTAAAAAATAAAAAAAATAAAAAAAAGCGGAAGTTAACCAATTTTTATAGCATTACCAAATACTATAAACAAAATGTTAGAATATAAATAATTTAATGATAAAGATAATTTTAAAAAAAAATTTAAAAATTGTATATATAATAAATATATAATAATAAAAGAAATAAATTAAAAATTCACAAAAAATCCGTGTGATTTTAAAAATTATTTTCCAAATTTAATAGATTTAAATCCTGAAAAGGAATTTGATTATATAAGTGGAAATTCAAATTATAAAGTAATTTTATAATATATATATAAATATATAAAAATATATATATAATATTATATATATATATATATATATATAATATATATATTTTAATATATTTTTTTTTTTTAGATGGGTTTATAAATTTAATTAGAAAATAACAAAAATAACTTATAATTTTCTGAATTTTTTTTTAAAATTATTTGTAATGTAGATAATAGTGTTTATTTTTTTATTGGCTTTAAAAATCTTCAAGATGAATTAAAAGTTTCTTTTATTTTAAATACTTTTGCTTTTCTTTTTAGTTAAAATTAAGATGATTGATTTTTTATATTAAACTATTTAATCAATTAATCATATAGATATATATTATTAAAAATATTACTTTATCTTTAAATTAGTATTTTATTTATAAAATTATATAATAATTCTTACTTTAAAATATTTTTATGTTTAATATAATTTAGTCTACTATTCTTTTTTTACTAATAAAAATTTTTTTTTAATTTAAAAAAAATATTATATTAATTTTTAAAATATAATATAATTACATTTTGTATTACCATTAGATTTTTGATATATATTTAAAACAACAAAATGAATGAATAAATTATATATTTTTTATATCTGATTTTCATATTATTTATACTTGAAAATATTAAATTTTTTAAAGTAATTTATTTTAAATAGGAATTTTAAAAAAATATAAAATATTATATACTTATTTTTTTTATTTAAAAAAATAATTATTTAAAAAATTATTAAAATATATAAATCAAAACTATTAAATATAAAATGACAGATAATAATACTGAAGCAAAGGGATCTTTTTTATAAAGTGCAGTAAATAAAAGTTAAAACTAAAAGGAGCAGATAATTATTTCTTCAGTAGAAATAAAGCCTCCAGTAGTAATTTTTGCAGACATGAATACAGAAATGAAAGAATTTGCATTTGAAAAAGCTGAATTAGCAATTAGTAAAAATATTTTTTTTTATAGTAATATAGCAAAAGATTTTTTTAAAAAATAAAGAATTGGTATATAAAGGAGATTTGAAATATTATAAAGATGTAGCATAAAGTCTAAAGGAATAATTTGATGAAAAATTTGGAGGAACATGGCATGTTGTAGTAGGTTGAATTATTAAAAAAATAACATTGTTTTGATTTTACTTATTTATTTTTTATAAAAAAAGGAAGACATTTTGGATCTTTTGTTACTTATGAATCTAAATGTGTCATTTAATTTTGGATTAATCAATTTAGCTTTTTTATATATAAATTCGGTTGAATATATGTATTATAAATTATCTATCTATATTTATTGAAACATATATCTTTTTTATTAAAAGTAAAAATAACTTTCTTTTTTTTAAAAAAATATATTAAAAAAAAAAATATAACTCACTTCAAACTTTATATAAAAATCTTACTTTTTTATTAAAAAAAATATGTAAGTTTATATAGAAATAATTAAATATTAATAAAATAAAATTAAAACAAAATTCGTTTTATTTATTGAATAAAGATAAAAATAAAAAAATGAAATAAATGCATATTTTTTTGTTAAAACTTTTAATTTTTATCTCCATAATAAAAAAAAAATCTTCATACCCTATTAGCAGCTTTATTTTCTTTTTATTCTTATAAATATTCGTTAGAACTTTATCTTCTTTTAGTAGCTGTGCTTTTTATAGAATGCAAATATGATTATTTCTAAAATATATAAAAAAATAAATTAAATAAACAAATAAAAAAAAATACTTCAGGTCTTTCATTAATATCAACATAATTTTTGTTTGCTAATCCTTAGTAATTTTATCTTGGTCTAACAATTTTGTTTTCAGGATCAGTAATAAATTCATTCCAATGGGCAAGCCATCCTGCGACTCTAGGAATAGTAAATAAAACTGGGAACATATCAGTTGGGAATCCCATAGCTTTATAAATAACTCCACTATAAAATCAACATTAGGATATAGTTTTCTTTTCACAAAATATTCATCTTGAAGTGCTATTTTTTCCAATTCCATAGCAATTTCGACAAGAGGTTCTTTTCCAACAATTTCAAATACTTCTTCCGCTACTTTTTTTATAATTTTTGCTCTTGGGTCATAACTTTTATATACTCTATGTCCAAATCCGAAAAGTAATTACTTTCTGTTTTTTACATCTTAAATAAATTATGGAATGTTTTCTTTTTTTCCAATTTATTCTAGCATTCTTAATACAGCTTCATTAGCACCTCCCTTATTATTTATTTTTTAAAATTAAAAAAAAAAAAAAATTATGTTTACATGTTTAGGTCCATAAAGTGCAGCAGCTGCTCCTGAAATGCAAGTATACACATCAACACCAGAAGAACACAAGTGCCTAACAGCAGCAGTTGAACAATTGAGTTCATGGTCAGCGTGCAAAATGAATAAAACATCTAAAGCTCTTGCTAATTTTGGATGAGGTAAATATTTATTTTCATTTAATCTATCTAGCATGTAAAGGAAATTCTCAACATAATCAAGAGTTGGATGAGGCTTATTATGAGAACGACCAATTCTATGTCTATAACAATTAGCAGAAATAGTTGTCATGCTTCCAATTAATCTATGGATTTGCTTATTCTCGTTTTTGGATCGTCATATATGTTCTATCCTGCTAATGCTGGATTAGCGTTTGGATGGAAAGTTGATGTAGCAGCAATTGTAGATACTAGCATACCCATTGGATGTGCATCATATCTAAAGCTTTTCATCATTCCATTTACATCTTAATGTACAAAAGAATGTTTTTATATTCTTTTTTTTTTATTTTTTATTTAAATTTTTCTAGAATATTTTTTTTTTACTTTTGCTTCCAAAATTAATATTAGGATGCTGTTGGTAATTCTCCATATATTAGTAAGAATGCAACTTCTAAAAATGTAGATTTTTCAGCTAATTATTCGATAGGATATCCACGATATTCTAATATCCCATTATCACCATCAATATAACATATTTTTGATGTCTATTTTTTTTTTTTTCAAAAAAAAATATATTTTATATATATATATTATTTCTATTACACAATTAATTGTGTTCATGTAACCAGGATCGTAACTTCTTAAAACTCCTTCATCTTTAGTTCCTACTTTTTCTAAATCAGATGCTTTAATATAAGAGTTATTGTAAATTTTTACTTCATATTAATTTCCTTTATATTTTTTTTTTTTACAAAAAATAATATTTTTATTTTTTTTAAATAAAGGTAAATTTTATTTATTACCTTTCTTGTCTTTTATTGTAAGTGTTTCTTTACTAGTTGTATTATTTTATTGTATTTAGTTATTTAAATTAACTATTCTTTCCATTTTTTTTTTTTTATAATATTTTTTTTTTGTTAATTAATTTTACTTTTTAATTTATAAACATTGTAAAATTTATATAATATTGTTTTTTATTTTTCTTTAATATTTATGATGATGACGTATATATATATTAAAATATTACATCATATAATATATGTTGAAAATATTCAAGTAAATAGGATGAAAGTTATATATAATGTATAAATATGATTAAAAATGAACAAAATAATTTTTTTATAAAAAAATAATAATATTATCTTGTTTTAAATAATAAATTTTTACAATATATTTTTTTAATTTATATATAGTATTCATGTATTTTTATATTAATAAAAATAATTCAATAAATAAAATATTTAATTTTTTTTTAATTTTAAAATATTTTTATTTTTGTTTCTATAGTAAAAAATAAAATAAATTAATAAATTTTTTAAAATATTTTTTTATCTTAAATAAAATATAATAGATATTTTTATTTTTTTAATTAATATTTTTTTAATAATATTATATAAATCATTTGAATTATTATAATGTCTATTCAAGCAATTATTAATTTTTTAATTCACTAGATTTTAAAAGTAATTCAATTCTATTGATTTCTTCAGCAGTTTAGGCATTTTCAATTAAGTACTTGGATAATAATAAAAAAATATATATTAAATTAATTAAATTAAATTAAATTAAATTAAATTAAATTAAATTAAATTAAATTAAATTAAATTAAATTAAATTAAATAAATTATAATATAATAAAATTATATTAAATTAAATTTATATAATTGAATAAAAATGCATATACTCTTAATTTTTCTTTTTTATCCTTTGCTAATTTTGTTTCTTAATCTTCGATTTTATTCAATTATGGTTAGAATTCAAATTTAGCTTGTGCTTATTCTCTTTCTTATTTTGTAACTTTTTAAAAATCCAACATTCTTAAACTAGGTATTCTGGAAATAACATAAAGTCTAAAATCAGGAGCCTTAAATAATATCCATAATAAATATTTTTTAAAAAAATATAAATTTTACTTATGTAACCACATTATTATATAAAACAAGTCTTTATAATTTTTAACATCCAGATAAACTGTCAATTTCTTTTAATTCTGTAATTCTATTATTCATTAAACACAAGTTTTCTAAATTTGGAAGTGCCTCATTAATTCTTGATAATTTTGAAATTTTATTATTATTTAAGATTAATGTCTTTAATCTATATTTTTAAAAAAAAAATATATAAAATTTTTTGTATTATTACCTTAATAGTATTGAAAAATTACCCAACTTTTTAATTTCATTGTCGCTCATATCAATACAATCAAAAAAATCCTTGAAAACTTTTCGACAAAATATTAAGTATTATATATCGTTACCAAAGTCGCTCCTAAATTTTCTATTACATATATTTTTAATCCTAATTTATTAAATTAATGTAAATTATGTATATATATATATATATATATTTTAATTATTTTTTTAAAGAGTTATTGCATTTTTATTATTTATTGTATGTAAATTAAGTGTAACCTTTTAAATCTAAATGTCTTTCTCTTAAAGGATTAATTATTTAATTTGATTATTAAATTAATTCGGCTGTAATTTTGCTCATGTCTTTTGCTTCTTCTTCTTTTTTTTATTTTGTTAGACAAATAATTATATATAATTCAAAATATTAATTAAAATTATTAGTACTTTTTATAAATAAATATATATTATTTATTTTTATATTAATTTTTTAAAAACAAAAACAATTGATTAAAAATTAAGAAAAATACTTAATAATTAAATTTTTTTATATAAAAATATTATTATTAATAATAATCAAGTCCAGCTTGTAATTTTTTCTAAAACTCAGCATTTTACTATATAATTTTTATTCAAAAGCATCATTTAATTTATCGATTTCTTTTTGTAATTCCTAATTTATTAATTTATTCCTTTTTTTAGTTTTTTATTATTCCATCCATTTCATATGTAAAATTGGAGGAACATCTCCAATATCATTTAATTTCATATATCTAAAAAAGCTACTTAATATATAAATATATTTAAAAAAAATACTCATCAATCTAATATAAACTCATTCCGTATTATTTATCAAATAAGAAATCTTCATAATGTTTACTAATTTCAATCTTATTATAAATATGTTCCCCTTAATTAATATTATTTAGTTCTATTTCATTTTAATTATACAAAAGTTTGCTTTATAATTCGAATTCTCTATTTTGACATGAAAAAGTGTAAATATAAAGATCAAAATACTAAAAAAACCCATTCATTATATAAAATTTTGAAACTAATTAAAATTCATTTTAGTTAAATAATTTTATTGAATCTGGAGGCTTATGTACACTATGCATACTTAATATTTATGAGAAAACTTATAACAATTCTTACTACATATACTGTTTAGTATAGATTAGTTCTATTAAATATGACGAAATATTCATTAAACATGAAGTTTTATTATAATCAAAATCATTATTATATGAAAAAAAAAAAATATTATTTAAAAATTCTGAAAATACTTATTTTTATTCATCATTTAATTTATTATATATTTATTTCCCGAAAACTTTTTCATATATTTCAGAGTTTTCTGGCTTTTTTAATAAATAATTATTTATTAAGTTTTAATAATCTTCTTGTGTTATTGATCTTCCTATAAAAAATTTCTCCTTGTTATAACCTTTTAAAAAATTCATTTTTTTATATTTTATTATATATGTAATAATTTTAATTATTATCCACTAAAAAAAATATACAATAAAATTACAAAATTAATTAAATTAATATTTTTATTCAAAAAAAAGAATGAAAAAATATAAAATTTATGACGATAATTACAGAATTGTTTTTTAAAAAAAATTGAAATTGTCATTTTTAGCAAATAAGAAAAAATATATTAACTCAATTATATAATATAAAAAACTCAAAATAAACAGCTTATAATAATAAAAGTAAATAAAATAACTAAAAAATTAAAAAAACATTTCAATTAACAAACAAAACAATTTATTAAAAATATTAAACTGATGTAGAATAATATATATATATATATATATATAACATATCGAAAAAGTAATAATTTTATTAATAAAATATAATGTTTTTAATTTAATAACCCAAAGAAATTAGACAAATTAAAATTGAAATTTATATCCAAAATTAAATTTGAAATAAGAGTATAATCCGATATAAAAAAACATCCAAAATTTTAAATAGTCACTATTTTAAAAGGAATAAAAAAAAAATTCTATTATTTTAATGGATAAAAAAGACAAATACAATCACAAATTTTTTAAAAATAAATATTTTTAGTAAATAAAAATTAAAAAATACGATATTTTATTAAAATTTATTATATATTAATTTTTTAATTTATTCATTTCTAATTTATTTTAAACTATTTTTTTAATTTCATATATTATTATTATATAAACATTCGGTGACTTAAATACAAATTCTAAAAAAAATATATTATTATTTTATACAATCAATAAATAATTTATATATACATTTTATTTTTAAAAATAAATAAAAAATATTATTTTTATATAATATATATAAATTTAATTATAATTCGTAATAAATATATATAATAACAAATTATAATTTTTAAATAATAATAAAAATAGTTTATATTTAAATTTTTTTTATAAAATAATTTTTAATCATATTTATTTAATTCTAAAATAAATAAAATACTTATCTAAATTTCATATATATATATATTAATTCTTATTTTTTTATATTTTTAAATGCATTTACTCCTTTTTAATATATATTAAAAAAATATTAAAAAAGTATTTATTTCTAAAAAATATCTTTAAAATAATAAAAATTAATTAATATATTATATTAAAAGATAAAATATCATAATAATAATAAAAATGTTCATAATTTAAAAAATATTTTTAGTTTTATTATTAATTTTTCCATCCTTAATCCAATCCTAAGGCTGTAAAAACGTCAACATAAGCATTGAAATGAAATCGGGTGACACAGTCGTCAAAAGTGGTTACATATACCCTCAATGGTTGTAAAAGCAAACCCCAGTATTAATGGATACAAATTCCACAGACCTCGATTACCTATATATAACAATATATTCTTAACAAGAACTCACCGAAGAAAATTTCTAATTAGAATTTGGAGATAAGAATTTCGCTAGTAGTACATTCAAAATTGAAAAAATAACAAAAAATGGCAAAAACAGTCGTTTATATTCCATAAGAATAAATTATAAATGCAAGAACTACGGTGGTAAATTAATCCGTTATAATTTTACTATTAAAGGAAATTTTAAGGAATGCGAAAATTAAAAAACTACTATTTATTGGGATCGTATATGTGGTGATCCCCGTCAAAATAGAAAAGGACTTATTATGGAATATGATTTTGCCCATAAATATAACCAAACAGTTGTCTAGGAAGGACTTTTAAAAGATGCTTCTTATTTTGATTAGGATTTGGAAAATTTCGTCTTTAAAATCCCATCGAAATTCACTTATTCAATTTTCTATATTTACATGGTAGACACCAAAAATGAGCTAAATGATAAAAATTTCTCTGATGAAGACTTAGAAAAATTCGTAAATAATAAAGACTCAACAAAACTAGATGTACTTTAGTCTATTTTGGAACTTATTCCAGTTGAAGAAATCAGTTCTCCTTAATTAAATTATGACGAATAGATTCTTTAACCTGTTTTGAAAGGTGATTTGGTCAATGGGGGAACTATTGGAGTAGAAAAAAAATCCATCTATATAGAATATAATTGTCTTCATAAAGGAACTTCGGAAATTTAATTAACTATTCCGTTACCTTATTTTAAAGATATTAATCTTTTTTTCCTAAAAGAATGTCCGTATAACTATGGTGAAGAAGTAGGATTGATTTTTGGATTTTTAGAGTATTTTTTTATAGCGTGTTTCCTTGCATTTGCTATGTTCTTTATTTGGAATAATTTTGTTTTCTAAAGTTTTGATGGATTCGTTTATGGGAAAAATATCCTTTAAAAAATTTTGGGTTTCTTCGCGGGTTTACCAATGGTTTCTACTACTTAAATAGGTAGAAAAATGTATTCTTTTGCAAATTAATATTAATAATTGCCGATATATAATTAAAATTAATAAAGTAATAGTATAAAAGATTCTGAATTCAAAATTAAAAATATGTTCGAAAAAGATAATGAAGTTAGTAATACACATAATTAATAAATAAATGATAATTATTATGGATCTATTTGATTTTTTGTTTTTTATTTTTATTTTGAATTTTATTATATATACAAACTATTTTTTTTTATCTTAATTAAATTTATTTTATGTATTTTTTAATGTAAAATGTTTTTATATTTATATAATACATAATCTATATGTATAATTTTTTAAAAAAATTTATTATATTTTTATTTTTTGCATTGCCTTTTTTCTTTAACATAAACCTTATTTTATTTTTATAAACCTTAACTTTTTGTTTATTTCGAATTCCCTTCACTTATCCTTTAAAAAACCTACATTTTTGAATATATTTTTATAATAAATAAAAAAAAATATAGCTTTAAGAGATATTAATCTTAAATTTATAAATTTAAAATATAAATAAAAGAGTTTAAAATTTTAAGTATTAATAATAAAGACTATATTATTTTAGAAAAAGGATATAATATATACAATAATTTTTATGTAATAACAAAATTATTTATTTTTAATAATATTGATATTTTTTTAATTTTAGATTAAATTTTGAAATTATTATTTTTAGTTTGCAATGATATATATATAAAATATGTATATATATATATATAAATATATATTTATATATTTATTTTAATTTATATATATTAATATATAAATCTACAATATTAATTTTAAATACATTTTCTAATGCAAACTAATTATTTATATGACTTAGACAATAATTAGAAGAGAAAATCAACTAATTATTTTAAAATGGAAAAAAGAAGTTATTAAAAAAAGGTAAAATATTAGGCTTCTTAACAACTCGTTTCTACTAAATAAAAGAAAAAAAGCTTAATTATTATAAACATAAATCTAACGAAAACCCTAAAGGATATTTTGAATTGACTGATGCTTTATTAAAAATAGACTTAGATTAAACCTAAAATGCAAATAAAAATTTTTTTTCTATAAAAATTTAAGGAAGTATCCAACATTTCTAATTTTGGCTAATAACAGAAGATTACTAAGAAAATATTTTATTATTTTAATATTTAAAATACATTACAGGATAAATTTTTTTAAAGAAAAAATCATAAAAATGGTTTAATAAAATATCTTTTGAAAGTAATATAACATAATTTAATACTGAAATTAATAAAAGTCAATTTTAAAATATATAACTAGATTTGGATAACAAAAGTGAATAAAACTCCATTAAGATATAAGATTGTGAAAACAAAACTCCTTTATAAATGCCAATATAAACAAAAGAAAAAAAAGTATCTAAAGAATCTAATTAATCTAAATTCTATCTTTAATAATCTAGTTCTTCAAAAAGAAACAATAAATAAAGTCTTTAATATATTGATTTATAATAAGAATATTGTCTAGAAATAGATGAAGGTTTTAAAAACCCTTAATATTCATCTATGGTTTTTTAGAATTCGAGTCAATATTTTGGAGAGGTTTTTTTATAATAAAAAAACAAATAAAAGACGAAAGAAATAAATGCCTCAATTGATAATTTTATAGAAAAAGATAATAATAATTTATATAATTTAAATACATAAGTTTTAAATAACGAAATTATAATGAATTAATTAAATAATAATGATTATTATTACAATTTCGAAGAATAAAATGAGAATAATTAATACATTGAATTAAATAATAATGAGGAAAATTAAGATATTTATAATTTTTATAATACAAAATCAATATCTCCTCCAGTAGAAAAAAAAAGAAAATAAAATAATGAAAAAGATTAAAAATAAATATTTCATAAATATTCCAAAAGCGAAAATTTATTCAATTTTAATGCAAATGAGATTAATTAAAACAAAAAATTAGATAATATTAAAAAAAATTAATTACTTTTTGATTATTTTTAATAAAAAGAATTGTAAGAATACTAAAATTACTAATAGTAACAAGAAAAAATAAACTCCAAATAAAATATTATAAATAAAAACATTTCATTTTTCGAAGAACTTGATCGTTTTTTAAAACTTATATAAGAAAATAAACTTAATTAATGCTTATAGGAAATTAACTAAATATTATTCTAAAAAAAAAACAATGAAAATATTAATATTAATATTAGATTTCAATATTTGTTCCTAATTACTAAAATAGATGTTTAATTAATAAAAGTATCATTGAACGGAAAAATAACTAAACTAGAATAAATATATATATAAACTGATATAGTTTTAAAGGAAATAGCAAATGAAAAATGTAATAATAATAATAATAATAATAATAATAATAATAATAATAATAATAATAATAATAATATTAATAACTATAATAATACAATAAATATAGTAGATTAGTGCCTTTTCGATATAAGTTCTGCTGAAATTTATTTAATTAAAGGAATTATTTAATATATATTAAAAAATAAATTTAATTGTTTGTATTAATTCTAATAAGCATGGAAATTTTATAATAAGATAGAAAATTAAGAAAACTATTTAATAAATATATAAAATAAAGAATAATAATAAAAAATTCAATTTATCTTAAGTAAATTTTATTTTGGAAAAGGTTTATTTATTTCGGCTTTTTCATTTATTCCTAATTTAAAAATTTAGAGTATTCTTAAAATGCTTGGTCATCTATTTGAAATTTAAGTTTTTTTTTTTTATTCTAATTAAATATTATTTTAATTTTTGTTTATATTTTTATAATAGACAGGAATTATGTACATGTAAAAATGTATTGAAAATAAAGGAATACGTTCATTATATGCAATTTATATACTTAGTCTATATTATTCAGAAAAAAACAATAATATCTATAAATTAAAAATAAAAGATTTATTAGATAAAGTAGAATAAGAAAATAAAGAAAACCTTGTTTTTAAATGGATTTAAAGCACAATTTATATTCATGAAGGATAATTAAATAAAGCAGAAAACAATTTAATAAAAACTATAGAAATTAAAGGAGAAAATAATATAAATATGATTATTTATGAGAGCTGTTGGCTTTCTTTTTTATAAATGAAATGGAATAAAAATACATTTTAACTTGAAAATATTATTATTAAAAGTTTAGAATTTAATATTTTTAAAAAACTTAAAAATTAAGAAGATGTATAAAATAAATTTATGTATTTTTATTTTATTTTTTTAAATATATTATTATATTTTATTTTTATATAAAAATATAGCAATTTAAGTTAAAATTATATTTATGAAATAGAAAATAAAGTCCTTGAAACATAAAAAAACGAAAAAATATAACTTCCCTTGAAAATATAATCTATAATGCATTTAATATGTTAATTTGCACATGAAAAACAATACTAAAAAGCTCAAGCATGGCTAAGAATATGTATTATGTAATACAAATTGTCGAATACATAGAATAAATATTCTGAAGATATAGCCAAATGTGCTGAGAAATATTTATAAAGGGAATCTTTGGAATATATAGAATACGAAATGCATTATTTATTAAAATACACATCTAAATTATAGGATAATAATTTAATATAATAAAGATTAATTTTGAAAGAAATATTAAGAAAACTAGTATAAGAAGAGAAAAAAATGGAATAAAAAATAATAATTTGTACAATAGTGGCTGTAATAAATTGTTTTCTAAGAAAATATAACGAAATTGAAGATTTATTAAGTATTTTAGAAAATATAAAAGAAAAGAAAAATTATGAATTTTTATTTTAACATTTTTATTTTTGGACTGCTATGACTTTTTTTCATAGAAAAAAATTCGAAAAATCACTTTTCTGGTTTGAAAAAGCTAATTCTATTAAAAAATAAGAGTTTAATATTTCGGATAAAATAGAAAGGAATATTGAATAACTTAAAAAAATTATTAAAGAAGAATGATTGTGTCTTTTTTGTTTATATCATATTTAAATATGTATATTATTATTATTTTTTTTAATTTATTTTATTTTAGGAAAAAGCTATTTTTATATTTTTCATTTGTATTAATTTTTTTATATAATAATTACAGTAAAAAATTAATGTTTTTTATATTATTAAATTTATTTTTAAGTCAATATACTTAAATCATTGATTTATCTATAATGATTTGTTCTATAACTTATAAATTTATAATAAGATAAAGTGGATATAGATATTATGAATTTTTTTTTTTTTTAAACATATGTATTTCATACTTATTTAAACCTTAAAAATAAACCCTAAAATATATATATAATTAAAAAAAAAATTAAGGTTTAAGTCAAATTCTTCAGAAATTTGTTGTATTCTTTTTTAAAAATTATAATAAAAAACATAAATAAAATAATTCAAATATACATATATTAATTTGAAAATATATTATTAAATAAAAAAAAAGCCAGAAAAAATGATGAAAGGCTATTTTTTTTCTGATTAAGTTTTTTTAAAAGAATCAAAAATAATAATAATTAAAACATACTACAATTTATATAAATATTTATAAATATAATTATTAGATATAATGTTTATCTTTATTTATATTATTTTTAAATTATTTTTATTAAATAAATATTTAATTTAATGATTATGCTAACTAAAATTATATTTTTACAGCGAATAAAATTTACATACTGGCTATTTAAATTTGATTGCTTTTAAAATTAAATACCTTTTATAATATTAAAATTATTAGATAAATTATAATTCTTTTAAAGAAAAACATATTAATTTAAATAATATTAAAAATAAAAATAGTAATATTTCTATAAAAAATGATATTATATATTTTTTATTTTTATTATTTATAAATATAATTATATATTTAAAATGAATAATGAAGAAAAAATTCATTTAATGTATTACATTTATATCTTTTATTAAATTTAATTATGATTATTTTTATTATACTTATATAAATAAACACTAAAAATATAATATAATTTAATAAAAAATTATAAACGATTTTTAAATGTAAAACTAATATATTTATTATGACATTGATTTTTATATAAACTAAATTTAAATAAAAATACATTTAATTGTATATGATATATTAACTTAATAAAATAAAAAAATATTAAAAAAAAATATATAATTATAAACAAAGTAATTATTATTATTTATAGTAATATTTTAAATGTTAATTAATATATTTATTAAATAAATTATATTAGATAAATATAAAAATGTATTAATTTTTATTTTTAAATCAAAAAAATGATATTTTATTATATATTTATTAAATTATTATTAATAAAATCAACAATTTTAATTTATTAAATATTTGATATAAAAATATTTTTAATAAATATAATTAGATTTTTATAAAAAAATATTAAATGAGTATATAATAAATAGATATATAGAAATTATTTTATAAATATTCAAATTATATATATTATAATAATTTTATCAAATAAAAATTATTTTTTCAAAATAAATAATGTATATATAAGTTTTAATATTTGATAATAATAATATAAATATATATATATATATATATATATATATATATATTATATATTTATATATTTATATATTTACCTTAATATAATATTTACTTTTAATATAAATTTAATATCATATTTTATGCTTAACATATATATTTATAAATATTCTTTCATTTTTATTTTTTTAAATTTAATTAATTATTTAAGAGAGGGAAAATAGAAACATTATAAATTTTACAAAAAAATTAAACAAAAATAAATAAATATTAAAGATTTTTCATTTCTATAATTTAAAAAATAATAAAATATATTTTAATTTATAATTAAATAAAAATCTTTAATATAATACAATAATGTTTTAACAAAAAATCGACAAGGCAAAGCTCTTATCCAAAGAACTTGATTAAAATTTTCAAACAAGTAAAATAACCCAAAAATCCTTCAAATTAATAAATATATAATAATATAAATATAAATATAAATATAAATATAGACTAAAATCATATATCTGATGAAATAATAAAAAAGATATCCCAATATATAGAAACAGAGATTAATATCCAAGGCATGAATTCTCAATAATAGGAATCAAACGAGATACGTTAACTATTAAGTGAAATAATGGACTATTTTTTCCCAGTATACATTTAAATTCTACAAGATACCTAATCTCAATTCGAAGAAAATAGTATGTAAAAAACCCGAAAGATAATTTTGGAATTTTTAAGCAAATAACCATATATAGTATATATTAGAAATTAATAAACAAATTTAGTATTTTACGAAATTTTATTGAATATAGTAATAAAAGATAATGAATAAAATGCAATAATAGCCTCTAAAATACTGAATGAGTTTATAAAGAATTTACATTTACAAATAGTAATAGACTTAAATAGATAATTTAATGCAACATGAATTAGCAGAAATATAAAATACATATTAAAAACTTTAAAGCTTAACAGAAACTGTTTATGAGATTTTATATGAAAAAACTAAATAAATATATGACTTTAGTACAAATGTGAAAGAATAAAGTAAATAATTTGAAATTTATAAAGAGTAAAATTACTAAAATTAATAGTAAAATAATAATTCTTGTTAAAAAATTATACCCAATAATGTCTCCTTATAGTTTTTGAGTCAATTGCCTCACTTTTTTGTAAATATAGCAGATTTCGATTTATAGCCTTTTGCAAATATTTACCAAAAGCAAAAATAAAGCGAAAGTCAAAACGCTCTTTCGGCAAAAGTAGTCCCTTCCGAAGAAACTAATGAAGGAAACCAAAAGGGATACGATGCTTTTATGTAAAACATCACCAATAAATTAAAAGACTCGATTTCTTATATAATAAAGACCCTCCTGGAGATGAAACTAAATGAGATATGTGAAGAAATGGGGAAATAATTCACATTCGAATTCTTTATAGCACTCACAAAGTTAAATTAATTCCTTTTAATATTAATAAAAAGGGGAAACGACGTCCTAAATAAAGCTGTATTTAAAAACATGAACCAAGAATACCTAAATTAGCTTTTAGACTAAGATAAAATAATCGATTCATGTCTAAGTTTGATCGATAAATGTCCTGAAGAGATTCAAATGTAAAAAGTTGACGTAATAAATAAACTAAAACAATTCATTTAATTTAAAGACGGCAAAATAAAAAGTAAATACATTCAAATAATTGCCAATGAACAAAAAATGATTGGAAACGTAAAATTTATAAGCGAATAATTCAAAAATGTAATGTATAATTCATATTAAGAAATTAATAAATAAACTATACTCTCATCTTTTTTTATACTTTAAACTCAGTCTATAATAACCATTGTACCTCCTCGAATAAATGAATTAACAATACATTTTTAAACCCTAAATATGATAATAGAGAATTTGATAAAAAATATGTTCGATTCTTAATTATGTATTAATTTATAAGATAAGTCATTAGAATTTCTTAAAACTATACTAAAAAAGCATATCATTTATTTACAAAATCCGCCTTAAAGACCCAAAAACTCTAAAGAAGCGAAACAAATAAAACATAATTTACTAATGAAAGTATTAAATACAATAAATTTAAAATACAAAGAAATACATAAAACATTCGATTTAATAAGAAAATATGTTGCCGAAGTCAAAAAGAACAAGAATGTTAATGAGGAGTAAATCAAAAAAAACTCTTAAAAAAATATGTCTTAAACTACTTCTTCCAAAAAAGGAGATTTAGACATTTCCTAAATGCCTAAAATAAAAATGACTGAAAATGAAAAAGACATCGAAAACTGGAAAAAAACACGAATTGAATTTATTGAAAAAAACGATATCAATTTAAGCCAAAACCTCCTCACTTTAAACTAAATGTAACTCTCATATTTAGATATTTATAATGAAAAAGAAGTTGTTCGTACAAATGAAGTTATAATAAAATCTGGCCAAGAACTTAATTATATAAAAGATATTAAAATGAAGATTATAGAGCATTTAATTCATATATAAGCGGATATATAGAGATATTTCTACAATGAAAACCGTGAGGAAGAATTTACTAATTTTACCTAAAAATACTAAAATTTAACGGCCAATTAATTACAAAATAGGTAAAAATAGCTCTCTATAATGAATATATTATCTACTGAATAAAGAAATATTGTTAGAAAAATACTTAGAAACGGTCTTTTAGTTTTCGAGCATTTCCATGATTATGATCTTCATGTAGATTAGTAATAAAAAAGGAATTCTTTGTATTTTTTTATGCTTAATTTTGCAAATATAAACGACAGAATTTCCTTTAAAGACATTTTTGAACCCAATATGGATATTATATTTAAACTTCTATTAAAATATCACAATATATGTGGTGAATAATGCTTAAGAAACCTTATTATAGACCCTTTTGTAAACCAAGAATAAATTTAATAAGGACAATAATAATATTTAATTGAAAATGTGCATTTAGCTTAAATTTTAATTACTTATTTAATGCAATAATTAAATACAAATATAGAGCTGATAGACTAATTTTCTCCTTTTTATGAATATAAGGATAATTTCTTCCCTATAGTGTAATAATTAATAAGAATACCATTAAGGTGTTTTTCTAAATTTATGGAAACTGAATTCGCAAGCCAATATTTCCGTTTAATTATATTTTTCCTAATAAAAAAAGCTCATACGTCTTTCTATCCTCTCGAATATCTAACTTTATTACGTTCGCTTTTTAAAAACCTTTTAAATTCATAAAATTAAATGAATTAAATGAGTAATACTTTAATGATTTAATTCTATAATATATGCACTAAAGACTAATAATTTTAATTCGAAAATCCCTCTTCTTCTTCATCTTCTAACTAATAATAATAATTTTAAAACATAAACATATTAGAAAATCTAATAGCTTTATATGAAACCGATATAATGGAAATTAAATAAATAGTCTGCGAAATTATCATTATTCTTCCTTTGAGAATTAAATAGACACTAATGTTGTGCAAAACTAAACTTCTTGCTAAGCCTTTAGTTAAGTGCTTATCGCTTTTTGATTAATCCTACACTACGAGAACTTTGAAAATTTTAGACTAGATAGTGGGCTATAATACATAGGAAGACTTATAAAATTTCCTTGAGGATGTAAAAGATGAATTAATAGATAAATTATATGAAATCCTCTACGAATAAAAAGTTGTGTAGGAAATTAAAAATAAAAATGCTGATTTTAACGAAATAAACAGAAAAATTTAAAGTGATCCCGTCACTACAGTAATAAAACTTCTCGGAAGATTAAATCATATACCCAGAATTCATAAAATGGAATTAAAAGTAGGAGAATATGTATAGAATTGTGAAAAAATGGACTCTTTTTACATTAATATTTAAGATAATGAAAATAATACTTTAAAATTATAATTAACACCCATGATATTGCATTCTATAGATATTTTTAATAAATTAATCGAAAATTTCTATTGCTAAACTGTTAGAGGAAATGTAATAGAAGGGGCTTTTTCAGTTTTGAAAATTGCCCTTTTTTCTTATTTACCAAACTCAATTTTTGAAAGTACTTAAGAAATGTAAGAATATAGATAGTATAGAAACTAATAAGAAGGGGATGTTTTAGAAGAAAAGGAAGATTTATTAGATAAAATTGTATGCACATTTATCGAAATAATTGGTATTGATTAAAAATTAATGTGGAAATTTTCACTTATAAATAGATTAAAAAACGAAGCTTAATAAATAATAGGGAGTCTAAGTAAAAGCTTATGTTTTATATATTTAAAAGATGATGTTTTGTTTAAAAAATATTTCGATGTAATTATTTAAAATGGACTAAAATGTACAAAAAACAAAGTAATAATTTTAAGAGAAGACTTAAATAATTAAAAAGAGTAACTTTTAGGACAATTCGAGTTTTTGTCAAAAATGTTTAAATAAATTCACGAATAAATCAAGGAAAAAGAAAGCTATTTTATAATAAATTATTAAGATTACTTTCTTTTAAGTGTCCTTAACCATCTTTTATAAGCTTCGAATTAGAATAAAATTTATGGCCTGTAAGTTATTCTATTGGAATTTATTGAAGAACATTTGCTAGAATAAGTTCTTTTATAAAAAGAAACTAACATAATAGACATTATTAACACCGTTTTTGTAATAATAAACCAATACCCAGACATTGTTATGATAAAATCATTTAAAATTTCCCAATAAATATTAAAGAAAATGATTCAGTTTTTAAAGAAAAATAAAAATAATATCCTCCCTATCACTTTTAAAGGAATACTAGCTATTTTTGTCCAAAACCTTCTTTCATATAAAGATTTAGTATATTAAATATCCAAAGACTTTCTTTTAAATATATGCTAAGTAATTCTAAAAAAAAGCCTAATAGAAGTTTTAAAAGAATAAATTGATAAAAACTCCTTTGAAGAATTCGAAAAAAACTCCCAATCATAAATTTAAATGCCTCAGTAAGAAACATATGTCTAAAACTACAAATAAAACTCCATATCAGATATTATTTCTTAAAACAACAACACTTTTTTAGCGATTCTTCTTACTAAAATAATCAATATAATTAATAATTTTACAAAAAACCATAATAACTTTGAAAACATCAAATAAATGAAATCTGTGGAAAATGCCTACAAAACAATCGAATTTATTATGGGAGTAGATGCTTCTAAGCTTCCATTTAGACTCGTTTAAGAAGACGAAAACATCATCCAAATTGAAAATGATCCTGTACCTTCTTTTCCTGAAAAATACTTTAAGTTTGATAAAGACATTCTCTAAATAATAAATAATAGTACATTCATAATACAAAAAAATAACGAAATAATGTCCAAAAACGTCAAAATAATAATTCAAAATCACAAATAATAATAAAATATTCCTTTAAATTAAAGACCACAATTACCTCCTTAACCTTTATAATAACAGAGTTCATAATAATCTTAATCATAATAATAATTTTAATAATAATAATAATAATTTTAAGGGCCGTCTGAATAATAATCATAAGGCATACATATTCCAATAAGTAATCCTTATATTCCACCATCAATAAATTTACAACAATAATAATCCCAATAATAAACACATAATTCATTTTCTATAAACAAGCACGTGTACTTAAATGAAGAAGAATTCGATTTAAATATTGAAGATATAGATATTAAAACTAAATACGAATCCAGATTAATCTAAAGTATATTAAATTTTTTCAAAACACTTCTACTATTGCACCCAGTTAAAAAAGTATGCAAAGCAAATTTAAAAAATAGGGATAAATAACATCAAGACTTCAGCCCTATATTAAATGATAGATATAGAATTATACTTATTTTATTTGACATGATGATGAGAATTGAAAGAGGAATAAGTGAAACTTCACAAAATTGCCTTTAAGATATGTTAAGTATGGAAAATCATCCCAAAGAATTGCTTAATAATGAAGATAAACTCAAAAATATACTTAAACCAGTACTTATGTGTCTTTCTTCAGAATTTTCATAGTTTACTCCATCTTTCTTGTAGGTTTTGAGGAAAATTCTAAAACTATTGACTCCTTGCTTTAATAAGGCACTCTCTGATAAATTGGCTAAACATTTAGAATAAATAACTCAGGATCCTAATAAAAATATTGATTTGTAATGCATTTCGGGACTTTTGAAATTATTCTAGCACCTTTCATATGCTTATTAAACTGCTTTCTAGACAAATCTTATGTAATAAAAAGATTATGTAAAGGATTCTATTGATAAAATTATTAAAAGCGTACTTAGTATAGAATAAACATATTCATAAATTAAAGGAAAGTACTAAATATAATAAGTAACAAGAAAATCATTATGTAAATTTATTAATTCTATGTCCAGTTAAGTAATTGAAATTTACTTTGTGGAAAATGACCCAGAAATTATAAACATTTTACTAGAAGTTTTAAAATTAGATAAAGTAAAATTTGAAAAAATAATATATATATATATATATATATATATATATATATATATTATCTATTTATTTATTTATATTTTTATTTATATCTATTTATTTATTTATATTTGTTTATACATATATTATATTAATTTTTAAAAATAGTCACTTATATTTAGGGAAAGATTTACTAGAGATAGTAATTAATAATTAGTGTATAGATTATATAATAGAAGAAGTGAAAATAAATTATAAATGCTTAGAATAATAAAAAACCTAGCTAGTAAAAATTGTAGACTGATGTTAAATAATTAACAAGGCATTGATGTAATAAAAGAAAGATTTGTCGATAAAATAAAAATTATGAGAGACAAAAATATATCGGATAATACGAATTTATAGTTTATTCCTAAAAGTGAGATTATATATTATTTGAAAATATTATTGTTATACAGTAAATAAAAGTAAACTGATATAGAAACCTTATTTATTTTAGCAGACTTTCTAAGTATAAGATTATCATAAGATGTTTATTTTATTAAAGATTTCTTTAGAGAATATCTCCCATATAAATTTTCGATAGAGACAAAAAGAAATATATTTTCTAAATTTATTGATTTCATTATAAATTCAATGAATGATAAAGATAAAATCGAAAGCATTATTAATGTATCCGCGAATATAATTTACCCTATGTTAGTACATTGTAATAAATAAGGATAAATTAACTAAATAATTGACAAAGCAAAATTTATTGAAGGAATATCTAAATTCAGTTAACCTCGTTTAAAATATCCTTTCTCCTCTCTTGATATTGAAATTTTATAAATTTCTTCACTTATCCTTCCTTATATGAAAGATGAAATAAAAGAATATAAAAAACACTTAGTTTAATTTGGATGGAAATTTATTAGAATAGAGGACAAGATATTGAAACATTTCGGTTATGTATATATTTGTTAATTTATTAAGCTTTTTGGAATTCCAGATGAAATGACTTTGAGTATATATATTTCATTATTAAAAAGACATGACGATTAGTCTTAATAATTTTTCTAATAAGACTAAGAAATAGGAGAGCTATCAAAGAAAGCATTAAATATATTAATTCCTTATTTAGCTTAAAGAATATAAAGGAAAAATAATAATTAATAATAAAGCTAATAACAAATATAACAACTATAATTATAATAAAACTAATAATAATAATAATAATAATAAAGCTAATAATAAAACTAATAATAAAACTAATAGTAAAACTAATAATAAAACTAATAATAAAACTAATAATAAAACTAATAGTAAAACTAATAATAAAACTAATAATAAAACTAATAATAAAGCTAATAATAAAGCTAATAATAATCAAATAATAATAAAACTAATAATAAAACTAATAATAATAAAACTAATAATAATACTAATAATAATAAAACTAATAATAATAATAATAATAATAATAATAATAATAATAATAATAATAATAATAATAATAACATTAATAAAGTTAAAATATTTAATAAAATTAATAATAAGGAAATAATATATAACTAGATTGGATCAGATTTACTACAAATTTATTTTAGGATGAATCAAATTAAAGATAACCTAGTTATGGAAGATTCTGGCAAGTTTTTATAAAAAACCATAAAATATATTATTAATTCAGAAAACATTTTAATTCAAATATAATTAACTCTATGTAATAACTACTTATTAACTCTTCCCAAAACTAATAATCCTTCACTCATTGTAAAATCTCTTGGGATTTAAGTTTCCTTTTTATCGAATGGAAATTCAAAGAGCTTTAGAACAAACTCCAAAACGTTCCCAAATAAATAAAATTGTTAAAAATAAAAGAAAAAATTACCTAAATAGAATAAAAAGACGAAAATACTACAAATAAAAAACAAGAAGAGTAAGCCGACTCTCATGAAAATATTGAAAATAAAATGGAAATCGAAAAAAATCAATTAGAATAAATGCAAGAAGAAGAATAAAAGCAATAAACTCCTTAATAATAAAAATATTAATAACCACCATTAACTGAACAAGAAGAAGAGAATTAAATTCTTTAAAAAGCCGAAAAATATAATATTAAACCTGATGATATAATTATCACTGAAGAGGAAATTTAGGATGCGAAAATAGAAATATTAAATAAATTATAAGAAGAAGTAGATACAAAATAAGTCATAGTTCCTTATTTTATTAAATTAATTTAACTATGTTCGGAAGGAGCTGAATAAAATATAATAAACAGATCTTTATATTTATTAAAAAAATCATATTTTATATGGCCTAATCCGGAAATAAAATAAGGATTTTATAAAAGTGAATTATCAAAATTATCCAAAAATGAATATTTCTAACTTAGTATTCTTAATATAATACTAGAATTCGAATCAGAAGAAAAAATAAACGAATTTTTGCCATAAGTATATAAGCTTTTGGATTAAAAAAATAATTCTTAACATTTAAATAGTATACATAATTAACAAAATTTATAAAATAATACAAATAATAATTCTAATTAAACAAATACTGGAAATTTGAATTAAAATATTCCAAATCATAGTTAAAGTAATATAAATTTGAATAATAATTAAAAAATAGAATAATAAGGATAATAATAATAATAATAATAATAATAATAATAATAATAATAATAAAATAAATAATTTTTGTTATAAAATGAAACTTTCTGTATTGTATTGCTATTATCTACTATTATAAAAAGACTTCTATCTGTCTCTTACAAATTTAAAGACAAAGATTCTTCTTTGGAATTTTTTCAAAATGTAAAAATTATATTTTCAATATTATAAATAAATATAATAAAAGATATGCTTAATGGTAAAAGAAACATTAGAATGTTAAGTAAAAATTCAATATTCGACCTAAAACTCAAATAGACCGAGTTAGTAAAATTCTTAATAGATACTTACTCCATAACAAATTCGCTAAAATCAACCCATGTCATTATATTTAGCATTAAAATTAGTCAAGATAATATACGAATTAGATGATAAAGTAGATTTGGGAATTCGTAATATAAAGTAATTAACATTAAGTATAATGGATTAAGTAAAGAAGCAATACAAGAATCAAAACGATGCTTGTTTGTATTTCATTAAAGATTTCACGAATATCGAATTAATAAATAAAATCATTAAAACCCCTTTTAAAGAATCTTAATTTAGTCTTCAATAGTATAGCGAATAATATGAAGAATCACTTCTCTATTGCTATAGTAGTAGCGAAAATTAAAAACTAGGCTAAATATTTTTAAAATAAAGTTACATAACATTATTAAAAACTTTAGCAATGAAAATAAATTCATTGAACGATAGAGAAAGTCAGGATATTTAATAAATAATAAGAATTCTTTAATCAAATATTGAAAAATTTAATGATTTAGATATAAGAGTAGAATCTTTAAATATTCTTAAAGCACTTCTTATTGGAGGTTAACATAGCAACACAAAAATAAAACCATTAAACTTTAGTGCAGAGAAAAAAATAGAGCTTATAACTGGCCAATCATTTTCTTATATTGTTCGTGTGTTTGATAAAAAACTAGGAATGTCTTAGTTTAGCCAAAAATATACTTCACAAAACTTCGATTAGTCGGTAGATTATATGAGTTTTAAAATTGCAGAAGAATACATAATACAAGAATATATGTATTTCATTTTAAATCTTATATAAGAAAACGGTATAAATCTGATTGATAAAGATTTCATAAGATACTTCCTTTTACTTTTTTCGAAAAACTCTTCATCTATGAAATTATCGTAATATAAAATATATATATATTTATATATATATAAATATTTATATATTTATATATTTATATATTTATATATTTATATATTTATATTTTAATATTTTTTTTATTTATTCATAAAATCTTATTAAAATTTATATAATATTAAAAAATAGATAATTCTATAGATAATCAGCTGATTTATTTTGTTCAAATGATCTTAATTATATTTAAATGATTTTAGGTCAATTCTAAAGTGAAAGCTGTTATATGAAAACACGATAATTGGTTATAAATAATTTAAGGTCAGATCTTTAACTTGATCTTTTAGAAAATGATGAAAAACTTTTATTTGGTTTTAAATTTTTACTATTTAAAATTTTAGATACATCATCGAATGTATATTTGACATTTGAAAGTAAAAAATATCCTTTGTTAAAGCCTTTTGTAGATTATACTAATTCCCTACCCTTATAAACAATATTAGAAAATAAAGAATTTCTACAAACATCAGACATAAAATTAAATAAATTTGACATAATAGAACTTTATTGTGAAATGATGCAATCTGCCTAATTCAAACAAAGTCCTATAAACGATATAAATAACTGCATATATACACTTTATTAATCTTAAGTGAATTTAAATTGTCCAATAACACCTCATTTATTAGTTCCAGCTTTTAAAGATATATTTAACTTTATAATCGGAAGGGATCATCCAAATAGACAAAGCGTAATGTAATTATTTGAAAACACACTCCTTAAATAAAATCCATTCCCGAATTATAATACCTAATCAAAATATGTTTATTTAGCAGAAGCATTATGTGAGCTTCTTTTGGAAGAATTAGACTCTAATATTGGATATATAATGCACCCTGAAAAAGTTTATTTAATGTACAAATCAAACTTGAAATGGGGATAAGGTTAAATTTATTTAGAAAGAATGCATTTTCAAAGGGATAAATACATCCTGAATTAAAAACATTATAACCTCAAAAATTTCGAAACTTCAGGCGCTTTAGATTGTATATCAACTATTTTCGAAGAAATGAATGAAACAGACTATTCTAATGGTTTAAAGTCTTATTTAGCCTCTAGTTTTGAACTCAGAAGGGCTATAGCGATTTTATAATAAAGAGAATGGGTTGAAGCTTAGATTTTTATGAAGGAAAATGCTGAAGTTATCCTCACTGACACTTCTCATAAGTTAAATAAAGAAAATCTAGTCTATTTTGATTTAGTTGGGGATTATTCTTAAGTTATTGATTTGGCTATATTTAAAAGCTTATTTATTGAATGTTAAAAAAATCTTAATAAATGGGACGAATTATCTGAATATGCTGAAAAAACAAACAATTTATAATTTAGTAAAAAAAAAAATATACATAAATTTATATAAATAAAAATATTTAGATTTTGAATGTTTATTTAATACATTTAATATGGTTGGTTTAAAAAAATAATTACAAACAATCGGCTAGAACTAAATAAATTACGAAAACGCCTTAAAATATCATTCTCATGCTCTTGTAGAATTCCAAAGAACAACTACTGATGATACTCCAAACCAGAAATGTGAAATAATAAATTCTATATCAATAGCATTCTTCCATATATTAAAAGAATGGACAAAACTACCAAAAAATGTCTAAAATGCACACACGAAGCATTTAGTTTAACTATAAGCCCTTGTAGAATTAGAGGAAGGGCAAAGAGTAAGAGACAATCGTGAACAATAAAATAATTTAGGTCTAATAATCGAAAACTAAGCTAAAAATGCATAATCTACAATTAATTAATGGAGGGAAAGAATGCCTCATAAATTCGAAAATTTAACCACTTGGAAATGCATTACGGACCAAAGAAACGTAATATTAACTTCAATTTTTAGCAGATTGAAAACTCGAACGGAATAATTCCTTAAATAATTGTAAAAAAATAATGCTAGAAGAACTAATTAAAATCCAGAAGGTTAAACTAGTATTAATTCGACAAATACTATAGAAAATTATATAGAATAACTACTTTAATATCCGGATAAAATCGAAAAAATACTAGCACCTTATACTGATACAAAATGGAATACATTAGTATTTATTAAAACTTAGTAAATATTTGGATATAATACAATCGAGAAAATGCCTAATATGGATGAAAGATTACATCCCGAGGAAATTTATCTAAGAGCGAAATTAATTGCTTCTACTTTTAAATATAGTGAATCAATTAACAATATAAAGTCTTCTATAGAATTAATTGAAAAATAAGCATCGTCAAATTAATAAGAAGATTTTAAAATACACAAAGCTGATTTATATAGAAAAAGAGCTCTTTTATAATGGCAAAATAGTAAGAACTAAATATATATATATAAAAAATATATATAATATATTATATATTATATATATTTATATATTTATATATTAATCTAATCTTATTTTTATTTATTAATTATTTTTTTTTATTTATATAAATATTTTTAAATTTACTATATATACATTTCTTTAGATAAATATGTAGAATCAACCGAAGATATGTAACATTCTTTGTAAATTTGTGAAAATTATTACAAAACATGGAAAAGTTGGTTAGACATATGTTTTTATAATTATTTAAAAAGACAAAACTAAGAATATTGGATTCGTAATGTTTTCTAATTAATTCCAAATGCTTTAAAATACAAACCTTATAAAAATTAAATGCTTTTTACATATATATTATTTATTTTAACATTAGATAAATAACCTTTTATTGATAATATAAAGCTCATTCTTTAAGAAATTCCAAAACCTTAAATTTTATTATGGATACCATCAATTCTTTCTTAATTATATAATAATAACAAAACTGAAGATTAAGAATTAAATTAAATATTCTATAAAATTTTGGAAGAAATAAGTCTTAAATATCCCCAATGTATATTTTATTACTTAAGGGCATTTATAGACAATAAAAGCGAAAATAACAATAATAACCTTAATAATTAAGAAGGTATTTATTACGTTTAAAAATTATACTTAAACCTTAAAAACAGCTCCCATAATTCAGATTTAATTAAAAAAATGGAAATATTCTCAAAAGTAACAACTTAACTATTTTTATAAAATTTCGAATTTGAAAATGCACTTCGAGAGCTTAATATTATCTTGGAAGATTTCCAATCTCCAAAAGACGAAAACTAAATATGGCAATTGATAAATAAAGTTTCTAGTTTCCTTAAATAATATTCATAATTATATGATAATAATATTAATAAGTTTACCTTTTTAACTTAAAAAAGTTCTCTATATAGTCTTTTATCGTAAATTCGTACATAAATATATGCCCCTTTACTTAAATAATATTAAGAAACATACTAAATAAATCCCAATCTATAAAAAACCGGACAATCCTTTACTACGGAATAACTTTTATTATTATCTCTTAATGTATAAGAAATTGAATTACCTGGATAATACATAATATAACCAAACCAAATAATATTTAGAGATTATTAACCATTAAATCATGTAACAATTTCTTCTATAAATAAAGGAATTCGTGTCCAATTTAAAAGCAGGGGAATTTCAAGATAATTAATATTGAATTGCTCGAATAATAAATAATACATATACGAAATATAGCATGGTGGAGTTCATTCTAAAAAGAAAGGAGGTGATAACTTTTAAAATAATTAACTCAGAATCTAATCTATAGAACAAGTTCAAAGTATAATGAATATAATTTTTAATTTAAATAAGGAAACTTTTATTAGACATTTATAAATTAAAGCGCCTAAAAAATTTTGTTTGGCCGTTTTTTCTGACAAAAACTACTTTTCTTAATATTTAGGGCATTTATAAATTATGCTAGTGCCTGTTCTTTCTAAAACAGTAATTTCAATGTAAGATATTTGTGATGAAAAAACACCCTCGTTAAATTTCTAATAATATTAAGACACATTTAATACTCATTTAGAATTATTGGATATAAATAATGATAAAAATGTAAACTAAAAAATGAAATAACTAATTCCGGATACAGTCCTAAGTGATTATTTACTATAAAAAACAGGAGATTTTATGGACTATATTTGTTTAAGAAAAGAAATAACATATAATTTAAGTACAGCCATGTTTTATAATTATTTCCTAGGAAAATCATTATCTTTAAGCAATATATTTATATGTCAGTAGTCTGGAAAAGCCTATATTAATTACGAAAATATAGAAATAAATGAATAATCTTAAATTGTTATCAAAAATCATCATTCAATAAGATTATCTAGATGCATTTCTTAATTTATAGGTGATTTAGGTATTTAAGGTATATTAGCTCCTGCTTTTATTTCTATGGCGAAAGCACTTACAAGATAAATGTAAAAAGAAATTAATTTTTTTTATATAAAATAATTAATTTAAATAGATATCCTGTAAAATAATTAATTTGCTTATTTTTAATTGAAATGGTTAAAGCTAATAACTTTTAATAAAATTAATGTAATTCGGATGAATTTATGGACATTGTTAAAAAATTTTATGACAAATTATTGTGGATTTATTCTGAAGATGTTTAAAATGGAAATAAAAGTAGTGTTAAAGTTAATAATAAATCTAATATTGGTTTCATAGATCCTATTTATCCGAGATCCCATTTATTAATGGAAACTATTTAATAAAATTAATTAAATAATAATAATTCGATAATCTTTAAATATTGGTTTTGATTATATTTTTATTATTTAATTATTTTTTATTAATATTAAGTGTTTTTTTTATTTTAATTTTATATTTATATGTGTCTAATTATTGTAGAAAAAGACAAAAAAATATTATATATGCATTATGATGAATTAAAAAAAGTATTTTATTTTAAAATTATTTTCTTTAATAATATTATTTGTAAAAAATAAATATATAATTTTATATCTTATTATTATTATAATATATATAAATTATTTTTACAATTTTCATTTCTATTGTTTAATTTAAATAAAATACATTTATATATTTTTTAAAACTTTATTTTAATATCATATATTTATATTTTACTTTATTTATTCTTAAATACATTAATATATTAAATATTTTTCATAATAATATTTATTTTTTTATATAAATATTAAATATTAATTCTTCATTTAAAACAAATATAAAATAATAATTAATTATAAATAAAAATAATATTTGAAAAACAATTATATTAAATAGAAAAAATATGAAAACATATAAAAAAAATAAAAAATTAATTTAAAATTAAACTTATATATATATATATATATATATAATCTTACATTTACATAATTTTTACACAATATATATTAATAAATGTATTTCTTATTTTCACACACAATTAAAATCTCTAACTTAATCATAAGTAAGTTCTTATTTAATATCTATAACCTATCCTTTTTAGAATTTTTATTTAATTATTTTAATTTAATGTTTATCTAATTTGATTCCTTTTACTTTTTTTCCAATTAAAAGCAATAAAAGTTCGTCTTTATTAACTTAAATATTTTTCTCATTTTATTTAATAATTCCATCATTTTATTTCTCACTATTTTTTTCCTAATTTTATTTTTCATAATCTTTCTTTTCTTCCATCTTCTTATTATTTCCATCCAAAATCTAATTACACTACCAAATACTTCCTTTAGAATTATTAAACCCAGGCGGTAATTTACAATACAAAAGTTTTCCGCTTAACAAATCTTTAATAATAATTTTTGCCGATTTAGCCTATTCAGGAAGTCCATTGCCCGTAAAGAATCCTCTAGAACTCGCATAAATATTAAGGAAAATATCTGCATTAACATACTCCAAATCTTAAAATTCTTATCCAAACTTTATTTTATAAATTTTTTCTAATACAACCTTAGGAATTCTTTCACAAAACAGTTCTACAGGAGAAATACAATCTTTGATTTTATCAATCGGTAAAACACCATTACAAGCCATTTCTGCTTTGGTTGAAGCTGCATTAGGGAATACTAAACCCGGACAATCACACAAAATAAGATTTTCTTCCAAAAAATGCGTTTATAAGTATTTTGTTTTTCCAGGCATATTTCCTACTGCGACTAATTTTTTATTGCACAAAGTATTTATTACTGATGATTTTCCGACATTTGGATAACCCACTATTCCTATTTATATTATATTTTGTTGATTGTTTTAATTCTTTTTCTTTTATTATTCTTCTTCAGCATCCACTAAAAAATCTCCATCTATTTATTTATTTCCATCTTATAAATTCTTTTTATATTTCACTTATTAAACTAACCATTTTAAAGCGCCGACAAGTATTTTTGTGAGAACTAAATTCGGCTAATTTAAATGTTTTTTAAAAAGATCATCTGTTATTTTTTATTCTTCATTATCTATTATACCATTAATCATCGTTCTATAATCTTTTTATTAATCAATTAATTTTTACTATTCTAAAGCAGAAAAAAACATATGATTAATATTATTTTCATTAAAATATTTTGACCATAATTCCCTTACTTATTCAGAAAGAAGATCAGATTTATTTATCAGTAAAAAAATTAGTTTATTTTCTGAAAGTTCTTTTGCATATTCTTCAATGTCCTAACATCTTTTTTTTTAAAAAAATAATGTATATATTTAAAACAAAAGAAAAAAATACCTATAAAATAAAGGATCTCTTCCATCTAAAATTTATACTAAAATATCTGATCTTTCCATAACTCTCCATAATTATTTCCAAACTTCAATATTTTTTTCATAGGGAGTTATTTATACACTAATATTTGATTCCTCTATTTTACTTAATGTTTTTCTCCATTCAATAAAAGACTCATTCTCTAATTAATTTAATTATTCTTTACTCATATTTTTGTTCCATTTTGGTCTTCTGGGAATTCTTAAATTACCAATTACATTATTATTCTGAATATTATATTATTATTCTATTTTTTTCTCAATTTTTATTATTGTTTCTCTTGCTTCAAGTTCACTTTTATCAATTTTTTAGTATTTTTTTAATTCTTGAGGCTATTATTTTTAATTTATATAATCTTAAAGATTATCTTAGTCTATTTATGACTAAAGAATTTTCTGATGGTTCTATATATCTATATTATTTTCCAAATGTAAAAATCTGACTTTTTCTAAATGTTGTGGAATATATTTATAATTTTTTTTTTCAATTGAATTTTTCAAATTTTATCCAAGCTACGATTTTTACTTTTTAGTATGCTTTGACATTTTGTCTTATTTTAGATTTTAGAATAATATTTAATATTTTTATATTTTTTTATGAATTAATAAATTTTTATAAATTGTTTATACTAACATATATATTTATTATATATAATATATTCATATATATTTTATTGATTAATAACAATTTTTTTTATATATTTTTATATTATTACTTTTTATGAATTTTATATTATATATATATATAATTCTGTTATGATTGCGATATAATTAAATAAACTTTTTTATTTTATTAATATTTTATATAATAAAAGCATAACTATTTATAAAAATAATAATTATATTAGCTTAATATTAAAAAAAATTGAACATTTTTTTAGTACTAATTTATAATATACTAATATTAAGATTTATTTATTAATGGTTTAAAAAAGAAGGGTAAATAAGAATTTAAATAAAATATTACTATCTGACTATAATTAATTAACAATAAAATAAAATCTATTTAAAAAAAGAATCAGAATCAAAATAATTTCATTATTAAAATAAAATAATATAATATAAAAAAATTAATAATAAAATAAAAAAATAATATTAAAATAAAAAAAAAAATATATATGAAAAAATAATAATGAAATTATTATTAAATAATAAATTTATAAATAAGAAAATACTAAAAGCATAAAAAACTTCAAATATATTCAATAAAGTTATAATTTATATATATGTTACTAACATATATTAAAACAACTAAATTAACTTATAATTTATATATAATAAAAGTAAATAAAAAAATAAAAAATAACAAAAATTATATGAAAAATAATCTACTATAAAAAGAACTAAACATTAAATGGATTTTTACTTTATAAAAAGTAAAAATAGCAATAATATTTAACTAAGAATAATCAAAAAAATACTTATAATTCAATAGTTTTAATAAAAAAATAAAAAGTTTAAGAATTTATTATAATAATAAAAAAATTCATAAATTTTTTTTTTAGAATAAAAATAAAAAGATTTATTTGCTTATTAAAAATATAATAAATTATAATAGAAAAATAAAATAAATTAATCATTTTATGATGAAAATAATAGAATAAAATATTTATATTTCTAAAAATAAAAAAAGATATTTAAAATAAAATATAAAAAAAAGTCTTTAATTAAATTAATGAAATATTAAAAAATAAAAAATAATTATAATTTTTTTATAAAAAATTATCAAAAAATGATTATATATATATATTAATAATATTCAATTGATATAACTATTAAGTATAAAATAATAAGAATATACAAAATAAAAAAATTATATAAAAAAAACAATTATTTTTGGCAAAAAAAAAAATATTATTTGTTTAGATATTATTAATTTACGAAAAAATAAATTTCTTTAATAAGATAATAAAAAAGAAAAAAGAAAAAATATTCAGAAAAAAAAAATCAAAAAAGCAAAAATGATAAAAAATAAAAAAATAAACAAAAATTTTTGTAAGATTAAAAAATATAGTAAAAAGTTTATAAATTATTTAATAAAATAATAAATAAAATAAACATAAAAATATTAAATAAAAAAAATATATATATTAAACAAAAAAAATCTATTAAAAATTAAATATATATAAATAAAATTTTTTATATCTTTAAGAAAATATAAATATTTTTTAATATATATATTATAAAATATAAATTTAAATTTAAAAAAAATTAAGTTTGTAATAAAATATATAATATAGATTAAAATTAAAAATATTTTATAATGTTTAAATATATTTATAAAATAAAAATAATTTAAATATTATTTATATAATGAAAATGATAATAATAATAATAATAATAATAATAATAATAATAATAATAATAATCACAATAATAAAAATAATAAAAAATATAAAAATTAATAACAAATACATATACTAAAGAAAATTATATATAAAAATTATAATTAATTAATTTTTTTTATTTTTATTTTATAAAAAATATATTAATTACAAACTATAAATTACTTTAATTAATTAATTTTTTTTCATATATAAAATAAATTATTTAATATAATTTTTATTTATTTTACATAAAATTAATATATAAATTATAAAATTTTATAATTATTATATAAAATTTTAAAAAGATTTAACTTTTAATTAATTATTTTAACTTAATATTAATTAAAATATTAAATTAAAATAAT